GGTACAAAGAAAACGATGAAAAAGGTAAATTCATTAGAAAAGAGGTGGATGAAATGTTAAAATTAGGAAAAATTAGAGAATCCAGAAGCCCTTGGTCTTCACCAGTGACTTTAGCAGGAAAAAAGTCTGGAAATTATAGATTTTGCATCGATTATAGAAAATTAAATAAAGTTACAATAGCAGATGCATATCCATTACCAAGGATTGATGAACAATTAGAAAGGATAAGCTCAGGAAAATGGTTTACTAGTCTGGATTTAGCATCAGGGTTCAATCAGATAGAGATGGCTGAGGAAGATATTGAGAAAACAGCATTTATATGCTCAGCAGGATTATATGAATATAATGTCATGCCATTTGGGTTAACAAATGCGCCTGCAAGTTTTCAAAGGTTGATGGACAAAGTATTAAAGGAATACCTGAATGAATTTGTGATAGTGTACATTGATGGTATAATGATATATTCGGAAAATTTTGAAGACCACCTAAAACACATAAAGTTAGTGTTAGAAAAATTAAAGGAAGCCAGTTTAATACTAAAGTTAAAGAAATGTATATTTGGAAAAACAGAAATAGAATTCTTAGGACATGTAGTTGGTAAAAATGGATTAAAACCAAGTCCAGGAAAGGTTGAAAAGATACAAAAATTAACAGCACCTACAAATATAAAAGGTGTAAGATCAATATTAGGATTATGTACGTATTATAGAAAATTTATTAAAGATTTTTCAAAAATAGTAAAACCAATAACATCTTTATTGAGAAAAGATGAAAAGTTTGAATGGGGCATCAAACAACATGAAGCATTAGAAATATTAAAAAGGAAATTAACCGAAGAACCAGTGTTAAGACAACCAGATTGGACAAGGAAATTTATATTAATCACGGATGCTTCAGGAATAGGATTAGGAGCGGTATTAGCTCAGAAGGATGATAAAGGTCAAGAATATGTGATAGAGTACGCCAGTAAAAGTTTAAACAGGACGGAACAAAGATGGCCAATAACCGAACAAGAATGTTATGCAATTGTATGGGGAATACAACATTTCCATAAATACTTGATCAATAGAAAATTTGAGGTAGTGACAGACCATGCAGCTTTGAAAGGATTGATGACTGCAAAAGTACCAACAGGAAAGAGATCAAGATGGGTCATGGAATTAGAACAGTATGATTTTGAAATAACCCACAGACCAGGAAAAGAAAATAAAAATGCTGATGCATTATCAAGAATAATATAAATAGATGGGTAAAAGACTCAAGATTCAAAAATATAAACAGGATAAATCATAATAAGGTTGAAAATTTCGAGGATAGTAAGGAAAAACCACTAATATTGGAAACTCAAGAGGAAATATTACAAATAGAGGTGATATTAAGTAGAGTAAATAAGCTGAAATTATCCGAATTATGTAAAAATGGGACCTAAAATAATAATTATATGTGGAGTCGATGGTACTGGAAAAACATTCATCGTAAATAAACTTATAAAAGAATTTGAAAAAGTAGGACAAAGTGTGAGGT